TATCGCTTCTGGGAATTATTAAGGCTTACCTACATCGATGAGAGCACAAATTGGACCGATCGTGCATTAAGTTATCTTCCTGCGAATTAAATTTATTTGCATTTTCTATCTGCGCGCGTATCGTGAAATTTGGTGCAGCCAAAGCGATCAATATTGAAATCATACGAAAGAAAACGAGCAATGCATTAGAAATCCCTTCGATAGCTTGGCGTTTAAATGTACTTATCGATAAATGAATAGCGAACCTCGATTGACGATCGTGCAAGAGTGAAACTTTTTTGCGCAAGTAGGTACGTAGTAAAAGTCTGCCGATTCACTAAACTGTCGACATATCAAGTAATGAAAGAATTTTATGCTATAAAACGTGAACCGTTTTAATCGGTTCTGTGTAAAGTAATTAACTTTTTGAATTTATAAAAATTATCAACTATGTCAAAAGTTGATTGAGTGCGATTCCATTGGAAATGGACGTTGTTATCATCTGTCATATGCGTCAAAAAATTTAATTTTCCTTGCGTACAATATGGAAAGTTACATAACACAGACTAATAAAAGTGCAAATTACATAACAGATTATATAACAGTACGATATTATAAAATTCGATGCATCTATTTCCTTAAAATTGTGGAGAATAAAGGATTTTATCTAAATGCTTCAAAGAAATAGATCTTTTATTAGAGAAACAAATCCATTAAACTCTTTAAATATAATGTTATAGGGCATAGGAGGAATAAGGAAGGGAGCGTGTTCCCTAAATTTTAGCAAGCAACATAAATGATATAAAACGTTTTTAGGACGAAAAGTTATTTGTGTACGAAAGTTCGCTGAAGATTTCCAAAAACAGACTTCAATATAAGTGTTATATATTAATAAGTTTTATATGAAGATAAATTTTTTTCTCTGATTAAAATTCTAAGTACAGCCCATTATTATCACTCATAAATACGCATATTGCAGCGATAAAAATAAAATTAGAATTTAAACGAGACGATAATGACCGCGACATCGTCAAGAGTCAATCATGTTGGATGGAGGAAAAATCGCTGCTGCGATAATACTAACCGCGTGCGATTTTCCACTCATGTCTGCCGCATCTAATTACTTGACGTATGCGCGAACTGTCAGCGAACTCCGCGCGTTTGCATTCAGAGCGCACCTTATAACCGTTCGAACAAATTCACGAATTATTCAGCACAGCATAGCTCTCTCATTCGTCAATTTCCATGTAATTGACAAATGAGAGCATTTGCTGATTTCCTTGAACATCAGTTGGAGCTTTTACGCAAAATCATTAAACGCGCACACATTTGTGTTTTGCGCAAATCTATGCGGTGTAATGAATAATGGAGGAAGGTAAGTAATTTTCGATAACAAAACGATACAAAACTTTGTATTTTATCAAATTACAATCGCAAACATTCTAAATAAAGAGTGATTGTCTTTTATATTTTCCATGACAACGACAGCTTTTAACTGGAAATTGCAGATTTCCATTATAACATTTAACGTAAATAAATAAGCGTTTGAATAAGCGTTCGATTTTGTGATAAGTAAAATGCATTACGTAAAACATAAACAATCATGTTATATGTAAACACAAATGTCAAAGTTTGGTATTTATATATTAGTAAAGATCGATGAATGTGAAAAAAAATTTTCACTTGCATGCTCTTGGTGTCCTGCGCCAGAAAATGTGTGCTGAAATATATCTAATTCTAAGTTTCACTTGTAGTATAAGTTTTACAAAAAAAAAGAGTAATGTAATTTCATTATGATTTATTCAGCACGAATCATTGAACATCATCACGATTACATAAAACATTCAATACGCGATAAAAGTCGCGCAATAAAAATTATTATCCTATGAGTAAAAATGCAAATACGAGAGTTTTAATGAACGCATTTAATTCCTTTCCAATTGTAGACAAATCAAATGTAAAAATAGGTTATTATTTTCTTTGTAATGCTGGAGTGTCCAAATTATCGATATTACAGTCGTATAAAAATCTCCAAATGAACTGAACAGAATAAAAAATCTTTTTAGGATTAAAGTAGACAAAGTTTGGAGGAAACGTAGCGAACTTTATAGTAATCGAAAAAAGTTAAAAAGTTACTTAATTTTTTTTCGATTTTAGTATAAAGTCCATTGTCACCACCTTCTAATTTTGCGTCTATTTTAATTCTGTAAAAGAATTTTTTATTCCGTGCAGTTAATTCAGAGATTTTTATACTATTGTAATATCAATAACTTGGTCACTCCAGCATTTCCTTAAGCAGTTAGATTTTCGTCAAATGCGAACGTGCATCTAAAAATATCACGCAGGCTGGAAAATTGCTTGCATGCTATATTATATTACATAAATTGATCGCAATCAAAAATTTATAAAGATACGCCAGTGTAACAAAAAATTTCACGTACGTGTGTATTTTTATTTATCTAACAATAAGTAAGCAACATAAATGTCGTATTTTTTAACGGAACCAATTTTAAAATCTCTCTGATGGCCTTTGTATAAAACTATAAAATATTATTTTTCAAGAAAAGTCTGACTGAAAACTATTAAAACGAAGAATGATCGTTGTAGTTGGATTACACAAGCAAGTTGCAAACAGGTTTAATCAAATACGCTTAGGCAGTAAAACGGTTTATTATTATATCTCCGACATTGCGAATCGCACATAACAAAGACGTTGGCACATTAATTACGCTCGTTTTAATGTAAAACACGCGCGTTGTATTGTTTTGTTCATTCTGGAATGCGCCCGTTGAAATACGCTCGTTAAACGATTCGGTGATGCCGTAAATTTCCAATTGCTATGCATAACCGCGCGATACATTCGAGAAACAGAACGTATTAAAAATTATAGAATAACATCTCTATAATCTCTTATGTTGTAGATTATTCCAAATTAGGAGAAATAATATGAATAAAACTGATTTAGAAAACTACAAACATATAAAAGAATGTAATATTATCAATAATATAAACACTATTATTTAAACTACATAATTTATAAAAAAAAAACTGTAAGAATTTTTTTTCGCATTTGTACAATTCGTTTTTAGCTGACTTTGTAAATACAAATAAGCCATAAATACATAAATTGTAAGTTTTTATTCCTTTAATTATTTAAACAAATCAGTTTTTGTCATTATTAATAAAATGTAATAATTAGTTTCCGACAAATAAGAGGATGTTATTTAACATCATCCGCTTTAAGTGCTGATGAAGCGGTATTTCATGTAGCATCGAAATTTCGCCGCGGCAGAGAATCTCATTCTTTTTCGGATTTACAATAAGAGGCACAAAATAATCAGATTGGGGTGGCTTGTTATAGAAAAATATCTGTTACGCATACTGTACGTGCTTCGGGTACAACTTGGGAACGGGAATCCTTCGGGAATTTGGCTGAATGAAAAGACCACTGCTGAAAAGGTGGGTGGACCCGAATGGATCGAATCTCGGTGAGGAATTGAATTACATTTCGTTAGAACCGGCATAGTAAAAGGAAGATAATAGCCGACGGTAAAATAGTACATTAAGTGTAGCTGATATTAGGGATGGTCTGTTTGCAAATTATAGGCGTATCATCCCAATTTCTCGTGCGTCTATTTGTATTTTATATTTCATGTTGATCAACTCGACAAGAGTATTCTAAAAAAAAAAGTAATTTTTCTTTATGGTTAATTTTTATCGAGTTTTATTTTGTATTCCCCTTCCCCTTATATAACAAAATTAATAAAGATGCAAAATACATAAATAAAAAATATGAAAAAATAACGAAATGATATTAATGAATAAAATTTGAACGGTTTTATCATTTAATTTTACACTGAAATGAGTAGCGACTAATCGTGATAATATTTTAAACTGAAATAGCGTTGTTTAATTATATAATTTGTATAAATCTTGAAGTAATAATAATAATAATAATAATAATAATAATACAAATGAATGAATTATAAAAGTAGAAAGTTATTGAAAAATAGAGTAGCATAATAAAAATATTTTTCTATTTGTAACTTAATTAATTGCAATTTTTGTCAACCACGAGACAGTTAACGAGGGTCGAGGATGGTCGAGGTTTTCTCACAATCGACTGTAATTCGAGTTCGATCGCCTATGAGAACCACCAGAGAGAACCCGCCTTTTAAACGGCCTGCACGTTCTCCCTTTCATCTTCACGAGTCTTTCCTTGCTAGATATTGCGCTTTTTTGTAGACCCAGCCAGAAAACGCGATGCTGCGGGCGATATCAGGCTATTTTTATGTCGCCAGATGATCATAAGGCGAACGGAAAAACGCTCGCGAAAAACAACAGTTATGCGAGCAATAAGTCGACAATGTGCTTCGTGTGTGTGATTTACACACAGTTCATTAAATTGCTCATTTTGTTCAGAGAAAGTAAACAAAATTTTCTACATATTTATAATTTAAAATTATCACATATATGCGCGATAAATATTTGTTACAATAATTAAGATTCATATTACATTGCAATCAAAACAGAGCAGAATAAACATTTTATTTTGTAAACTTTTTAGTTTTCTATTTCCCTTTTATTCTACTTCTCCAGCTTCTATTCAATGCGAAGATATAAAAGCAGAATAGAAATAAAAGAAAATAAAATTTGCCTTTGTGCGTGTGTACGCAAGTCCATAAAATAGAACACAATCAATTACTGACATCAAAATTGATCGATCAGATAAAACAACGGCAACTTAAATTTAACTTACTTAAGCGATCGAGAATTGAAATTTATTACGGACGATTCGGCCAGAAGTAGTACCGCTTTAATTTTAATTTCCTGTACGCACGCGTGCGAGAAGATTAAATCGTCAGTAAAGGATACATCATGCGTGAAAGGATTGATGCACTGGGTTAAACAAAGGTCGGGTGTATCGAAGCAACCCTACAGGATAGTGGGATAAGTGATCGACGCATGTACACGGATTATCTTGTCGTGTGGATCAGTTATGGTATTTCTGATGGACTTACCATTGATCACGTGTACGTTGACACTTGCTCCCTCCGCCACGGTAGGAACGCAACTGTAGTTTCCGGAGTCAGAGAGCTTCGCATGCGTGATCCTCAATCTGCCGCACAAAAGGTAATACAGTTTATCGCTACGTTGTAAAACGCGTAAATTACAATGCATATTTGATGATTTATGTAATTATCATTTATATTAAATCGGCCATGGTAAATGCAATATAGAGTAAAACCACTAGTTGTGGATCATTCTTTAAAGAAAATTCATTTTTTTATCTAGAACAATATCAAATAATTAATAAAATATTTAATAGTCATGATGGATCATAAAGATTATGGATAATTTTATTCCATTTCATTACCGTTTTATATATTTTAATTTGAATTAAACAAAGTAATGACAATTATCCACAATTAGACCCCATGTACTGATCGCGCACCAAATGCTTTATCCTTTTTGATGGCGTTACTACATCTCGCAAGAATGTGAAAATAATTTGCCCATGCATATCGTAATATATACAGGATGTCTCACAACTACCAAATTTCTTCTTAAGAACGTATTCTTGAGGTAATTTTGAGACGAAAATCCTAATACAAAAATGTCGAGATTATAATAGTTTTTGTATTATAATTGATTAAAGATAGTGTTCGAAACCTATTATAGTCTCGATATTTTCGTATTAGGATTTTTTAATTAGAATGTTTAAAAGAATCCAGAAATAATAATAGAGGCTCTAAAAGTAAAATTTTTTTACTTATATAAGCATTTAAAGTTAGCTTATAATTCAAAAAATTATTGTAACCTCGACATTTTTGTATTAAAATTTTCGTCTCAAAATTATCTCAAAAATATGTCCTTAAGTGAAAATAGTTCGATAGTTGTGAGATACCCTGTATAACAAAATTATAATTGATGATCCACATCTAGTTCTAGAATCTAATTGTGAATAATGATTCAAATTTAACATATTCAAGTTTATTTAAAATTAGTGACAAATAAAAATCAATGATAATTTAAAAAAATTGATGAAAATTAAACGTTTAGCAATATAAAAACAGTTAAATTACGAATAGTAACACCTTTTACATATATAGACATGTATATTATTTTATAATCTATTTTGATACTTAAAACAAATAAATCTTTTCGGGATAGCATTTGTAAGATTCGACAAATGTTTAAACATTTTTTATAATAAGTTACTATTAATTTTTACAATAAAACTATTGTTATAACATAATGATTAAGCAACATCTGCGGACATATTTAATCTCAACTGAGTATAACGTTGATTTTTTTTTCAATGAAATCGTATGCTTTACTTCCTACTATAAAAGGCAATTCTTATGATATTACACTTTGAATAAATTTTTAAAGATACATACGTTAGTTAATTTCTCAAATTTAATTAGTTAATGACATCAATAAAATGTGTGTCACTAATAAATTAAATTCAATTGACATTTGAATGTGATAAAACAAATGCTAAAGAATCTTGTGAGATATACCATTTAATAAAAAATATTGTAATTATTTAAATATAAAAAGTGATCCGGTATTTGTGCTTGATCTACATCTAGTAGTTTTATCCTAAATGTAAAATTAAAAAATTTCTCTAAAGACTGCGCTGTTTTTACAGTGTGAAAAATGCCGCTTTTGAAGAAAACAACATTTAGTGTCATAAGAGAAATACTACGAAGCCTTACCGTTTTTATACACACTATATACGAATGAATTTGCATTTTATTGTATTAATAATGGATGTTGAGCATTTAGGTAACTAAGTAAAGATTTTTTATTTCATTTTTCTTTTACTGAACAGTTTATCTGCGCATATCGGCTTCATTAAAACTGTGACTTCAATTAAAATTAGAGAGCATTAATTTTAACCAAAAAGGATAAGATACGACGAAAGAAGTGACGTATACGGAGCCAGAAAATTACTACTTGGTCGTTAGGGATGCCATGTATGGAACTAGCTCTTTGAAGCTTACTTTGTGAAGGATTTTCTTTCGTCTCGCTTCGTATGTTATAAAAGAAAAGTCATTTTCCAAAAGATAAAAATATATAAAATTTTTTAGAAAATAATAAATATAAAATACAAACATAAAATTGATTGCAAATATAAACATTTTCATATATAAATTCGATAAATATATACCATTCCGCCATTTTTAATAGCGGAATGATATATATTTTTATAAAATGATATACATTTAATAGAATTAAATGTATTTCTAGAGAAATTAATGTGCATAATTATACTATAAAACTATTACACTTTCTTCATTTCGTAATCTACTGTATCATGAAATCATTTTACGTTAATATAGAATATTTAAAAGCATTTATAAAATTTTCATCAAGATCGTAATCGCGTTGTGTATATGTTCTACATAACTGTTTTGATATCACGTACGTTAGCGGCATATAGTTTCAGAGTAGTATAAAGTACAGGATCATTTAAAATAACTATTAATACACAACTAACAATAAACTAGCGTTAATTTAGTAATAATTAACCACGACATTAATAGCGATAGCGATCCAATTACCTATTCTCTCTGTACAGTGCATCGTACATATATTTTTGCCAAAGGTATCTCTGATATGCACGTAAATTTCATAATTTGCACGATCTCTAAATATGCTTTAGAGATATTTTTATATTATTAATGAACTGCGCAATATAAAAGACGTTTTTAGTATGCAATTTAAATATACAAAAATTGCATATTTTAAAAACATACTTATTATACATGATTACTAAACAATAATTGATAAACAAAATAATAAAAAGATAAGAATTCTAATCACTTACTTAGCTGAAATTTATAATTTTATAAAAATGAAAATACTATATCTGCAAAATCGATTATATAAATAATGATTATTAAATAATAATTATTTAATTTTAAAACATCACATTACGAAAATAACTGACTGCAGTATAATAGAGGAAAGTCGCCGATACTGACATAGATCTCCTAAAACGACATCCTCTTATTTTTCAGAAACTAACTATTGCACTTTATTAATGCAAATAAAATCGTGATCAGTTTAGTTAATTAAAAAAGTACAAACTCATAATTCGTATATTTGTAGTTTATTTTTATACCAAATCAGCTAAAAACGAATTCTACGAATGCAAAAATAAAATTCTTACGATATTTTTTTGCAAGTTGCGTAGTTTAAATAATAGCGACTATATTATTGATAATATTATGTCGTTTTAAATGCTTGTAGTTTCCTAATCAGTTTTATTTATATTATTTTTTCTCTTAGTTTTTTCATAATATTATTTTAAATTTAATTTAATTAATTTTAAATTTTAAATTTAAAATTGAGGTGCAGCGTAACCCGCCACACTTGTCTGTAAAACAGACTGTAAGCTTAACTTAATCTTTATAATGTTACTTTATAGTGACAAATAGCTCTACTGAGCTGAAGGCAATCGTGCATATATGGAAAAACTCTTGAAAAATTATCGCGTTATATATTTGCATCTTGCAGAACAGCATAAAGTAAATATGCATATAATTCAATAATGTTTTGTAACGAAGTAAAAAGATTCTAGAAAATCTTATATACATTCACTTGTAGGTACTTCATACAGATAATTCCTGTAAAAGAAAAAGAATAAGAATACGTAGCATTACTGCCTACTGTGTCAGTTATGTAGCCCATTTTGTCATTTTTGTTTATCTTACGAAAAAAATTAATTATTGCAAAATTGCATACAGTATTATAAAAACTGCTTATACTATCTGATAGAAGACACTTTTCAATTTGTCCTTATGAATTTAAAGTTTTCTTAACCTTTTTTTTTTGTTTAAGAAAAATAAAGTGATTTGTCGATATCGACGATTTTCCTCCATATCCATTTATAACTTTCATAAAAATAACCATATGATAAAACACTTTCCTATCAATCAAAATGCTGCTAAGGAGCATAATTAAACAAATTTATGTGCCTCTGGTAATGAAAAAGATATAAACAATGGAAAAGCATTGGAAAAGTATTGGAAAGAGAAGCTGGATATCTAAAGACATTTAAAAGTTATTCAACATATTATAGAATCATAATAATTCCTATCATCTTATCGGAAAATTTCGTAATTATAAATTTTGTATTTCACTACTTTGTCGTAAGTGTCTTCAGATATAAATTTTATATAGCTATGTATCGTAATAGTCGTCAATTTCTTTCACTAGAAGGTTTACGTTGCGTTCGACCAAACTTCAATCAACTCGTTCAACGGTAATAATCGAGCAAGTTGGAGAGAGCAGAGAATTTTTTTCATTCTTTTTCCATTTTGTTTGTTAGACTCGTTACTGTTATGTAACAAATTAGATTGATCGGGCCAATAGAAATTGGAACGAGCTCGAATTCTCGTGGTGTATCGCGTGGCGGAAGGCTTTTGCGAGTGCGATGAGAACGCAATTCCTCAAATATGAATATGGAATATCGATTTGAACGCTCGATACGTAACACTCGAAAAAAGAGTCTGGTAATAACTATGAAATGTTAAGTAAAATAATTTCAATCAAATATTTGATTGATATAACCAAAAATAATTTTACTCTCCTAAATATTTAATATCAAACGAGTGATGGCGTTATGTTTGGTAACACCTATTAAATATTTAAAAAAGTAAAATTATTTTTGATTATATTAATCAAACATTTGGGCAGAATTATTTTATTCATTTCATAGCTAGCCAGATTCTTTTTTTCAGTGTACAGAAAGAAAATCGCAGCCAAACTCGACGCGGAGACATTAATAAACTGTACGGTTGCGTTGCACTAATCGCGAGTGGGATAAACATGTAATTACACGCGCGAGCGATAAAGTCGCGGAAAGCAAAAGTTAATCAACAGTCAGCTAATTTAACGGCAAACTAGCTGGAAAACCGGTCCGAATATGATTCCAAATGATTCTATCAAGAGGGAATTCTCTCGCGATTCTTTGTTAATCGAATAAAAAAATTACTCAAAAGTTTTCACATTTTTATCGTTTCTAGTTCAATAATTATCTTTGTTAAATTTTCAATTTAAACATACCGGGGAAGAAAGAATTGTGGAGATTTAACTTAACGCGTCTTTCTCAATGAACGCGAGAGAGAAGAGGTAGATGTAAAAGTTTGAGAAAAGTTTTAATTAATATCATCAGTATACAAATTGTCGATTACAAATATTAATAATTATCATCTTCCATTAATTATTCTCATTAGCGTATTTCTAATATTCACGTGCTGTTTATAATTATCGTTTTTAGATAAGAAGCGACACATAGTTTTGCCAGGTACGTAAGATAACAGGGATATCCGTTACACGATATATAACGTCACGTGAAGAAGCGCGTCGTTCCCGATAGATTATCGATTACTCATTTACTTCCCGTATTTCAGTAGCTAGCTTCATCGAGCAATGTAATGCATCGCACTCGTGGGACCAATAACCACCGCTTAAGGTTACAGTAACGCTATTCCACGTGCGGTTACCGCAATTCCGTGAACTGGATGTACCACGAAATAATTATTACGATGCCAGTATGACGATGAGTCATAACGGTGGACTCAATGCAGTTCGAGAGTAATGAAAATGTATAGCAACGCTGGATTAAGCTCTTCGACAGAGAATCGCCATCTTCATGGTAGAAGGAAAGATAATCTCGATACGACGGAATAAAACGTTATCCGGTTAACACGTTAATATTATCGAGAGCACCAACGATTTATGCGCGTGTATGGAAATTCAGGATTAAAACCAGTGCCAGGATTGAAAATCAGGTTCGTAGATTAACTCCTCGCGTTAATTTGAATATCTCTTTATGAATGTGAATAATGTATTTATTCTGGAAATATTCTGGGAATATTATTGCCGGATAATATAATGTTCATATAAACTCTTCATGCATTTCATTCTATTCGGAAATTTAAATTTGACATGAATTAAAAAGGAATGCGAATTTATAGAGAAGTTTTATTCATTTAAAAAAATTTAAAAGAAGACTGCAGATATTTCCTTTTACGTTTAACTTTATTTGCCGAATGTCGATTACAGTTAAATTCGAACATTTCTTCAACTGTACTGTGAAAAATTGTTTACATAATAAATGTTTTTCGAAACCTTATATAATTTTAAATTAAGTAATTTTATTCCTCGTATACTTTGACCTCCAAAATGAAAAAAAAAAAATCGTTCAATTATGTTAATTTTAAACAAACATACGTATATCAATTTAAAGTAAGTACAGAATAAATCAGTTAAAGGAATTTTGGAGCAAATACCATTAGATTAGGATTAGACGTATCTAATTTTAACAAACATATCGCGTATGAAAATGTAAGTACCACCAATCATGTTACATCAACGACACTATCATTATGGGAACGTTTCGCTGTACTTTCGGACAGTCCCATCGAATTTACTGAAAGCGGACGTTTGCATGACGGAAGTTGCCGACAGCTGCGCGACAATTAATTCGCTTCTTGAGCTGCGGCCCCGTAAATTTGCCCGCGCGATGTGTAACGGCATCGTCGTGACAATCGTCAATCACGTCCAAAAACGGACGCGCGACGTCGCGCGGCGGACACAACGGCGACGATGGTGATGGCGGCGCAATATTCGGACCGACACAAGCGACCTGGCTGAACAGCCAGGTCGCCCGAAATGCGGGGCATGTCCGATGCGTCTTCACGGTGCGCGGGCCACGTGACAAAAGACCCTGTTGTCTCGGATCCGCCCGGGACAATTAGAATAATCAGATGTCATGTGACGCCACAGCGTCGCGATGTCTACCCTCTCCTCATTTCTATCAAGTAATTTCAATAGAATACTTTAATCTTGAATTCTGAGTAGAGAAATGAGATATGAGCATTAATTACACGAGTGGCTGTTTTTTCGTATTTCCAAACATTTTTTAATATATGCAGTTCATACATACTTGTATTTTTAAATGCAGTTTTTTGTATGTCTATATACGTAAAGAACGGTTTTGCTAAAGTATCTGAAGATTTATGCCTAAATTCTAAGCAGAATCGTAAGGATTGTAACATATTCTTGTAAGAATTTTTATGTGGTTATACTTTTATACAATATTTTTATAGACAGTTTCTTACTAGCCAAAATTTACAAGAAATCGTAGATATTTATGAATAATTGTACGTCTTACGATGTATACGTATAAAATTATAATAGATCAGTCATAAGTTCTTATAACTTTTACGAGAACAGGTTACGGATCTTACGATCCTACTTAGAATTGACCCATTAATTATAGATACAGATTTGAAAATAATTTTGTTGAACTAAATAATTAGGTATGTAGGTTGTTCAAACTGATTAAAATGTCAAAACTTTACTGCTTTATTGCAGCATTGCTCATCATGCTTGAGTTTCTTTTATAATTATTTTAATTTATTTTAATTATTTCCCAACAAAAATTATTTTCACACAATTATTATTTTCAGATCTGTAACTGCGTATATTTTTTTAGATCAGCGAAATCATTCTTTCCGTGTAAATTTAACAATCTTGAAATACTTTTTTTACGTTCAAAAGTAGGAAAAACAGTAGAAAGAGATGATTCTTTATGCAAAATATTTAAATCTTATTTTAAATATTAACTATTAAATTGTAAATATTACATTTTAAATGAGCGCGAGCGTGGCAGACAGCGCAATGGTCTATCATGTCAGATAAGTTCCAGGTTCGATCCTGGTAGGAACCAAAATATTTACGCTCATGTCGTCTGAAAAGGTCGGCAACTTGCCGAGAGTATCCTTGCCCACAGAAACACCAGTCGAAAAATTCACCATTTGGAACCAGCATTAAAATTGTAGGTCCCACACGTTTGTGGCAATTGAATAATCAGCGCGCGCATCATAAGTATATATAAGAGAGATGTAACACAGATCAGAGGCTTAACATAAAAAGGAGGAAGAAAAAAGAAGAAGTTTTAAATATTAAATTTCGTCGCTAAATATTAAATATCTACAATACATTGCTATTTTATGCTAAATAATTATATGACATTAGTAATACCTATTAATGTTTTAAAAATTACAAGAAGATGGATTTACAGCAGTATTGAATTAACATTCATATTATATACAGCGCATAAACGAATTGTACATTTTAATGGATGGAATAAAGTTTCTGTCATCATTGTTACCAACGAATGCTTTGACGGTATACGTATCGCATATTTTTAAGGTAGTTACAGTCCCGTGAAGCCACGGGTATCTCGAAATAAATTAATTTGAGCGTGGGATCAGTTTTTCAAAGAGCCACGACGACGTGTAGGACCGGCGGGACAACCACCCCAGCCCGCCATTATTTCTCATTATTTCCCCTGGGCGCGGGAGGGGATAAGCGGAAGACCATTTATTTATTTCGCCGGCAGCTCGAAAAAGATATGGTTACAGCGGGTGCGATGAAATATTATACACGCGACGCTTCGATGAAAAGGATTGTCGAGAAAAAAAAACTGCTTTGACGAGGAACGACTGAAACCAATCGCGCTTGACGAATATTGACCGCGCCTGATGAAGGCGCAAGAAAAAAAGTAGCTGAATGCGATTGATATTACATTTTAATACTTCATGACGTTTTCCAACTGTTCGTCGGTCAAGCTTATTTTAACGCGAGCTTATTGTAAGCGTGTTATCGCGTTGCGAGTCCTTGGCTGAACAATTTTACAAAATTGCGAACGTGCATATCGTTCAGGGCGTAACACCCGCCTGGTCGCGTTGTAGAATCCAGCTTTTAAAACGCGCCAGTGGTGCTGTGACAAAAATTGAAATATTTAAACTGCGTTAAAATATGACGGCCGCAAATATATGGCGCGCGTGATCCTTATTTTTTATTTATTCGATGTATCCGCCTGACTGGAGCCGGTGTAAAAAATTAAATAGCACTCCGTATAACAATATCACACGGGTGCGCACGTTTATGAGAGTTTCCTCTGTGCGGAAGTGACGACACTGAAATGTGCGACAAGCATGACGAGCTTTTTTTTCTATTTTGTTCATAGCGTGCAAACAAGTTACGAGTTAACTAAGTTTTTGATATTTAAAATAGAAATAATTGTATACGCTGTCGCGAGAGAGATATACAATCGTATACGAGGTTTACTTATGAAACGATTAATCATATCGAACAAATTTTTGTCCGCTTTTTTTTCTGTAGTACAGCATAAATTTTATTGTATACACTCTAAATTTCTTGCAGTGAAATCTCACTCTTCAAGAGAGTGAAAATGCCTTGAAAGAAAGTGAGAATATTTTACTTCTTGAAAAAAAGATCTTCATTCTTTTTAGATTAAAATCTCACTTTTTTTGGAGTGAGATTTCACTCTTTTGAAGTGAAAATTCACTTTAAAAAGAGTAAAAACTGTCTCTTTTTCAAGAAGTGAAATATTTTCACTTTTTCTTTTAAGAATGGTTGCATTTTCACTCTCTTGGAGTAAGATTTTACTGTAAGAAATTTAGAGTGTAATTATTGTTAAAAATGACAGATTTCAAATCAAGTTAAGTATAATAATTCTTTAGAAAGTTAATCATTCATTCTTACTTCGACGTGAGGGCGTCACTCCATTCCGTCTCGACGGTTATACGAGGCTCCGTTTCGATGTCGTTTTCTGATGGCGATGATGTCACCACCGCCTGACTTCCTCGATACCAAGCTACCGTTCCCAGATCGTGGGGACCTTGCGACATGAGACACGTCAACGTCAAAAGACTTCCGGTCTTCACGTAGATGTCAGCCTGGCCGAGTATTCTGGCTCGCGCTTCTGCAACAGAAAGCAATTTTGAGTTCAACAATGACATCGTAGTTCTAAGAGTATCATGTAACTTAAAATATCGATTAAAGATTCGCTCAAGAAGACTCAAGGTAGTTTAAGGACATCTTTGCACGTATGTATCTGTGTATACGCGCTTGATAAAATATCGCCGCACCTGCTTCTCTTCAGGAAAAATACGCGATTGTCCATCACGAGAGATTTTGCGATCACGAAGTGCAAATGTAATTTTACAGGCTATGGCGAGACACAAACACATAAAACAGCAGCGTGCGGGGAAAAATAAATCGGCGAGAGACAGTTTTAATCATCGGACGTTCGTTTACGCGAGTTTACACGTGTTGCGTCGAACTGCTCGATAAAGCTATATCACGATGTAATAAAAGGTGCGTGATTAAGTTGAAAAAAATTGATGACGAACCACAGATATGGCGTTATTGCTGGTGCAACGGTGTCCGATTAAAAGCATCGATAATTGATAAAACACGACCAATTATTTACAAGCGGTTTTATAATAGTTGCATTAAAAGAATATTTATTACATATTAGAAATATTCATAAGAATACAATGTACATTCCGTATATTTATAACCGCAAAATAAATAGTAGTTATTTTTTTGTGAGCAAGCTTTAATAACTTGACAGTATCTTAGCAGTATCTTCCGTAATTTCCTGTGATATTTTAGCATCGTGAAATTGCATATTATTTAATTCTTTACGTAGTTGGCAAATTTGTGTTAAACTTAACACATTTTATGTGTCTCAAGCGGTCCATTCAAATTTTTGTGTTACTTTTTGATACAAAAACAAAATGAAAATGTCAGAAAATAATATAAATATCATGTAAACAAATTAATATAAAAATATGACACTGACACAATTTGTAGCAAACTATGGAAGCATATTTTTTCCAGTAAAATTAATATTTATAGTATGTTAAATTAATATGTGTATTTTATTCATTTATCTCAGAATTTATGTTTCAAAATATATTATTTTTATGTCATTCAATCACTTAGCTAAATTATATAATATTATATTGACGCTAAGAAATATTGAATACCAATTTAACACAAAATTTTAACAAGGACTTGATCGGTTTTGACACAAATATAAAATGTTTTTTTGCTATAAATTTTTATATTTATTATAAATTATACATTTTTTAATTTATAATAAATTACTTTTAATAGTAAATATCGATTTGCGATCGCATCGATGCATCATCTGCATAAAGAGACGCTCTAAAAAACGTCGACGGTGCACCCCGATGATGTTCGATCGATAAGTCACACAGCACACCTTTCATCCGGAGAATTCTCCTCGTCACGGTTAGCCGTTCGGATTTTATATCACATTGCGATGACCGGGCGCATTCTTGCGGAGCTGTCATTCCGAGTCATAGAACCATGTCTCGATTCTATCGCAAGAGGTAAAATGGATGTGTCGAATTTGAAAAAGATGCGTAGCTTGGCCTTGCAAAGCGATAAAAAGGACATTCGAAGGCAAACCATCATGACCAACTTTCGTACCAACGTCACAATACTATCTCTGAAACGCCGATATCAAGCAAGCGATCGACACATAATTTTGTACGGTTAATAAATTATAAATATAGTCAGTACGATACAATTAATCACGCAATATAATATTTAATCAAATATAATATTTATCGCAATATAATATTTACATAATCGGTTTATCATAATTCAATAAGCCTGGATTTGTGTCCGTAATATTTATATGGAAACGAATTTTTATTATAAGTGCTTTTTCATCAAATATTTTACTATAAAGTAAAAATTTTACTAAACTTTCATAAAAAATTTCGTTACTTAAAGAAATAATTATGTGATCGTCAATTTGATGTACGTGAGGAAAATTTGTCAACTATCAAAAATTTCTGCAAATGTTCATCAAGGAAGTTCTTGCAGTATTGCCCTATTCCTGTTGCTTTATTAGATATCATTGATGCCATATCACGCGAATTGACGTCGTTGATATTTCGAATATGCTGTCAAGATTAGAAAAGATAGATCTTCGCAACGTTTTTTTGATATTGACACTACTAAAAAAAGTGCTCCTTTTTTTCTCTTCTTAATTATAATCTAATTTTATATTTTCAAAATGGGACTGTGCAAATACAGATAAAGATAAATATTTTATCGTATTTAATTTAGGTTAATATATTAAGAATTCGCATTAGCATTTTTTAAAATTAAAAAATATTTATTTGAAGATCACGTTAAATAATGATTAAATAAATTGAAAAAACAGATCTTCTTCACGAATCAAGCTTATATCTTAATAAGAACCTACATTTCACATTCTATGGATCGTATGAGTCGTGCTTAAAGCGATAGCTTTTCCATGTCGTTCACGTCTTACCGAAAAGTCTTTTACGAGGTTTCGATGAGGTCCGACCAAGTTTTACTGAAAGATCGCCGTTTGTGATGCAAAAGATGCGCTGACCGTATTCTGATAGGTCGTTTTTTTTCCACCTCGAAAGGCCATTACCTTTACATTACGCTGTATTGGAGATTAGTTTCTTTGTGACCCGGCGGCGCATCTATCTCTCGTTTCCTACTGTCTCCTACATGGTGTTTACGCTGTTCTAGATCGATAGTCTACGATAGTATTTTGTAGCAAGGAGGAAACGATTGTGCTTCTTCGAAGTTTTTGTACGCAGCACGCAAGCTTAAACTTACCGTTAATTCATCGTCATATTTCACGAGTAATACAAGTCGGTTTTCAATTTTCTCTTCCCTATGAAAGAAATTTACGTACAATAGCAGAGAAAAACATTAAATTTCTAATTTAAAATTATTTTTATGTTATTTATTCATACATTTCATATATGAATTTCTTGCTAATTTAATTAATATAATTTTTATATTAAATTTTATATTAAGTTTTTTTCTTCGTCAAAATTTTCTAAAAATAATCCGGATACCCTGCTTTCAGAATTCTAATTGTTTAATTGGAACAAAAACGTTCCTTACGTTAGTTTGTTTTTTGACCGATTTTTCATCCACCGGATAATAAGATAATTTTAACGAAACAAAAACCTGAAAAGTTACTGTTGCTTCAATGTGTATCTAATTGCACCCGCGTTACAACTGTCAGATACATAAACACAGCTGGCTGGCGCTAATGGAAGTTCAACGTGGCAAATAATCGATTCCAGTTTGCGCAACATTACGATGATGTAGATTACGCGAATAATTCTCAGTTCAGTTACGTATCATCGTCGGCCGGCGTACTTGCTAGGATAATTACTTCGCGCAATTTGTGTTCACGTTTACGATACCAACGATACTTACGAATACCAACGATACGAAATTAATGCATTTGTATGGAAAAGAGGTAATAATTATGTGTGCGATCATTTCATTTGCATTGTATGTTAATTAATAAAAAAGCAGCACAAGGAAAAGTAAATATATATATTTCTTAATTTTTATATTTCTTAACTTTAATATTGTATTTTTTTATATAAATTAAAGATTTGTGAATATCTGATGCATTTGAATCTTTAGAATTTCTTTGAGTCTAATTGAATTCAACTTGATTATTCGATGATTTTAAAATTATAAATTATATCACACAAAATTTGGCTGTTTAAGTATAATATTATGTTATTGATATCTGTATTAAAAAAATTAATTATTCAATATATTATACATGTAATAAAATATTCTCAAAGTTATGAAGTAAAGTAACATAAGTTTCCACAACTGCTAAGAAAACTGATTACAAGAAAGCATCTCTATATTCCCAATTAAGAGCTAGTATCTAACGCATGTGATGCTACTTTTACGTAATTATTGTCAAACTTCATTAACAGCATTTTCGTTATAACTAATATTATTGCACAGAGATATGCAATATCGCGCCTGTCTCCATTCAAGATTACGCATTTCGCGATCATTTTGGCTTTGTCTCCAGGTTATTCATGCGCGTGCTTGCTATTCACCAGTATAAGGAGAAATTGTGTCGGGTCTGAGTGCTAGTATAGCAGTAGAGAACAGATTCCAATTTACAGCGCGTAGGAACAAGGAGCTCTTAGATGCAGCTAATCCGATGTACGGAACGGCGTACACGGATGTATCAGCCGTTTAAGCTGCTTAACGTCAAAATGACTTGAGATGCCTGCAAGTAGTAAGTTCAAGTGGGTGTAACTTGTTTTATTGTATGACACATGTTATTCAGACAGTTGCAAATGATACACTCGCGCTAGATGACGTTTGGCGTTATAGAAATACCGATGACATGTCGACGTAGCAATATTGCAGTAATAGTCAACAGTATTTTCTCGATGTTTCTAGTTCTTGTTTCAAGTTCGTCATAAGAAATTGTTACTTCAAATTTCTTTTTACAGAAAATTGATCCTAGAAAATTGACGCAATTTTTCTTAGAAATAACAATATTACATACTCGATTTTGATATCGATTTTTAAAATATATTAAAATAATATACAAACGCGACGGTCATTCTTCGTACTATCTAAGAGATATACGCGCTATAAGAGATTCACATATCGAAAGAGGTTGGCAAATGTTGATCTAGTCGGATACGCAATGCCGGAAGTATATCTGGTGAATCGACTTATCACTTCGCGACGGCAGGTTCTCGGTACATTTATTTTATTCTTCACGAAATCCTCGTACGGTGAACCAATAAACCGGTAAAGTTCCGTTCAGACGAGCCGAATCGCGCGAGGCACAGATTGAGTTCTCAGTATATCTGTCGCGCTGCAGCTCGAATTCGTCTTGAACTCGGTTAAAGTCGCGTGCAACCGATAGACAAGTTTTCTTGGACATTGTTAAAGTTAGAAACACAATAAATTCGGCCGATCTCTGATATAAAATGCTTTTTCAGTTGTCAGGAATACACAGTGGCCAAACTCAACGGTATTTTCTCACTGAATCGACGAAGGTAAGGTAAATAATAAAAATAATCCAATAATATAAATATTTTTGTTTGCATA